GACAACAGTGGTAGGGCCCCTGCTGGATGGCCAAGATGCTCAGCATGTACACGCAATAGGCAGAGGGCACGTGAAATGAGCCTGCCTAGGAGAGGGGACGACAGGGTCTGTGCTGGTTTCATGCTGATGACAGAACAGGTGAGGTTAGGAAATGGGCTCAGGCAGTAAAGGCTCAGACACCTTGGCGGTCAGAGAGGTTTTGGGTAAAGTTTACACATGACACACGAATGTCTCAGGTGCAGTGAGTGTTTACATTTGTTTTATTTCAAGTCCAGCTTTTGGGTTGGCAGACATGGAGAGCACCTCGTCCTGACCTGAAGGCGTCCTCATGGCCAGGCGCACGCCTCCATGACACCTCCCCTCCCTATAGTTTGGCCTTTTCCAGAATGTTCTGTGAACAGAACCACTCATGGGCCTGGCTTTTTACCCGCTGCAAAATGCATCTCCAACTGGTCTGCTGGGAAGTCAGTAACCTGTTCCCCCCTGTGGTCGCAGGGTCCTCCTGCCCCCAGGTCACCTCACTGCCCCTGTCTTAATGTTTGTGGGTGCCGTGGTGAATGTGGCATGCTGATTTTGACTGAGCTCTTGGGGCCACGTTTAGCTTTTAAGAGCCACCAACTACTTCCCAAAGCAGCTGTGTTCCCACCGTGGTGAGTGAGTCCCTGCTGCCCCCCTGCACTCCAGGGCCTCCTGGGTCTCCACCAAATAGGTGAGTGCTGGTTTCATGGTGAGCATCTCTGTACGTGTGTGTCCACGTATGTTAATACGTTATCTCTGGCTCATGTGGCTGCTCAGCTCTTGTGCCTTGGGTCACTTCTGAGTTCCGACTTTTCTTACTCTGCACGAGTCCTTTATGGGTTGTGATCCATCAATCTCCCTCCTTCCCTATGATTTCCTGTCTCATTCTCTTCAGTGTTCTGTGCAGAGGGAAGGTTTTCATGTAGATAAATCCTGTTTGTGTCTTTTCTCCCAGGACGCATAACCCTCCTTGGGCAGTCAGTTCTCTAATGTCACAAAGCGAGGCGCCCCCATCTGGAGGCCTCCGGTGGAGTCAGTGGGGACATGGCTGTGCCCCTTGTTTCCATGTTGAGGAAGCTGCTTTTTCCAGCAGGATTGGGCCCATGTCGGAAGCCTGCCATCTTCCTTTACGGGAAGCCTGACTCATTTTGTGCGCAAGTCTGCAGGCGGGAAGGGCTTGGTGGGGATGTGACTTACCAGGCTTGCCCTCACACCCTGGGTTCCTGTCTCTACGGCCAGATGGACCTGCTTCATTTCTGGAGAAGAACTCGGCCTGCTCTTTGAGGGCCGAACTGAGGGGCAGCCCATCAGACAGCACCCCGGCCCAAGGCCACCTCTGCAGTACTGCACGCGGGCTGCGACATGCGTGTCTCCTGCCAAAGCCTCGCTCTGCTCGTTCTTACACCACCAGTACCCACATGCCTGTGATACTCAAGGCCCAGACCCCACCCGTTAAAGGGCCTGGCCAAGCCACCCAGCCACCCCTCTCTCCCTGCCAAGGATGACAGTGCCTGCCTGGGCCCTGAGCCTGTCCCTGGAGCAGGCCCGTCTCCGGGAGTCTGCTCCCTGGCACCGCCTGAGTCCTTCAACAGGGGAACCAGCGGTCGGGCTGTTTGTCCCAATTTTACCGATGTCCAGATGCCCCTGGCTGGGCTCCTGGTAGTAAGTTCAGAGCAGGCCCAGGAATTGGTGGGTAGCTATGCAGGGAGCCTGAGTGTGTGGATTCGAGATGGTGGGGGTACAGTCTGCGTGCTAGCCCCCTCCTTCCCAGAAGGAGCTGGCCGAGCTGTGCCATGGGATCACCCTTGCGTCAGGACAGCCCCGCCTCTCCATCCCCCTGAGCTGCACCACCGGTGGCTGCAGTTTTATAGGTGCCCTTTGAGGGCTCATGATGGAGTGTGATGCTGGTGGCTGCCCCACTATGAATGAATATACAGGTGCATATGGTGGCCTGTCAAAGCATGGCTCCCATCCAGGGGTCCCATGGCCTGGGGGCACTAGCACGTGCACACAACACCCCTGGGTAGTATGACCTGGAGGACCAGGCGGGGTCCTCTCTGAGGAAGGGGAAAGCCTGGAATGGCCCCCTGCAGGCCCCTGACGCACCGCCTCCCAGGCTGAGTACCACGTTTCCCGACCAGCCGAGGCTGGTTCTTACCATGCCCCACACGTGGACCCACCGCTCTTGCTTTGTGGTTCTGGGCTGTTCCCTTGCTCTTTCCGTTGTCCGTGGTTTCTCCCTGCTTTCCAACTCTGTCCCCACTCAGGGGTCTAGGGGTGGCTTTGGTGCTCTGGACCCAGGGCTCTGACCAGGCCTGCCAACAGTACCCGGGGCTCTGTCAGGGTTAGGGGCACACCTCGTATTTCCCTTGTCCTCTGCCTTCACCTTCTCAACATCAAGCAGGAATGACTACGTCTGGCCCAGCACCTGTGTGGGGTTTCCTTGCAGGCCCGGATGCATTTTTGAGGAAACAGGCTGCCGGGCACTCCACGGAGGAGATGGAGCAAGAGGCATCCAGGAGCCAGCTGGTGGCACAGTGGTTTCTCAGGAGGGGCTGAGTCTGCCACCCACCTGAAGGAGCAGAGGAACTCGGGGATATTGTGAGCTGAGGTCCTGACTTTCCCCTATGGGGCCCTGCATTCTCCTGTCGGTAGGCAGGGGTGGCGGCTGCCCTGGGCTCCCAGACCCGTTGGTCAGGATGTATGTGGTCACCTTCACCTCGCTGCCCCATGTCTTGCCTCACCCCGTCAGCGTCTTCACTGGCCTGCTGGCCTGCCTGGCCTCCCAGAGCCTTCTGGGAGGAATGGTGGAGCAGCCAGGGTGCCTAGAGTGGCACTACTGCAATGGGGAGGCAAACAGAGGGGCCCAAAATGGCATAGACCCTCTCCACAGACCCCCGGGCCTCCAGGCAGAGACCTGAGCTGCAGCTGTGGTTTGGGGACGTGTGGTCTGGTTCCTGCCACCCCTACCCATGGACCCCCGCCCTTCTAGCAAGGGCAGGGCCTTCCTTACCTTCGCCTCCTGGGTGCTGAGGCTGGGCAGCCCCTTCTCAGTGGAAGGGAGAAGAGCCGTGAGGACCCACTCCAGGGCCACGTCCCCCCACCAGGTGACCCTGAATGGGGTGCTGATCCCCCAAAGGTGTTGGCTACACAGGCAGGGGCCTCAGGGGGCTCTGTTCACAGTTGGGCCGGAGACAGGCCCCTCTGCGGGGCCCTGAGAAGGGTCGGTGCTGGCACTGAGGTGACCTGCCAGTGTCCTGGGGTTGGGCCAGCCTGAGAACTGCCCAGGGCAGCCAGGGGGCACCTGTGCCCACCTTGCCTGTGTCCCCGCACCCCACCCTCTGGCCCCTGACCTCACTGTGCTCTGTGTCACACCGGCCACTCTGACCCATCACTTGTCAGAGCCTCTGAGCAGGACCTGTCCCAACTGGTCCAAACAGCTTGTCTACGGGGCAGTGAGCAGACCCCAGGCCGCCATGCTGGCCCCACCTGAGACCCCAGGCTCCCCTCCATGCAGATGCCCCAAGCCTTCCCTGCCTGCCTGTACAGGGCATCCCCCATGAGAGGATCCCACTGCCCAAGAACCCAGGCAGCCCATCTCCTCCTCTGGACGTCCCCGCCATGGCCCATCTACCCTCCAGATCTGCTAACACCAGGTCACTTTCAGCTGCAAACCCCACCTGCCTGTCACCTATGAGACCTGAGGGCCCCCTGGCTGCCCTTAGGCCTGGCCCCATGTGGCCACTGGGCTGGGCCAGCTGGATTCCTGAGACCTGCTGGACAACCAGCCACCCAAAGGCTTAGCCAGGCACCCCTTGCCCTGTAGCCACAGCCTGTGAGGCCACTGCTGACTCAGCTAGACCCTCCCTCTGCCTGGGAAGCAGACACTGTCACCTGTGCCTCCATGTGGTGCCCTGCTCCACCCGGCCCACTTCCCTGAACTGCCTGCTGGGTCTCAGCTCGAACCTAGTGCAGACCATGGCCCACTGGGCATCAGGGGTGAGGTCCTGAGCTGGGAGGGCGGGTCCTGGCGCCAGAGGTATTTCCACAAATGGAAACCATCCCAGATGAGAAGGACGTGCCCAGGTGACTCACTGTGGAAAGCCCAGATGGCCAGTGACTTTGTACAGAGAGAGGCCAGGATTGTCCCACGGGTCCACCGGTGCCCTGATGCCTGGAGGGGCACCATGGTGAGGGTGCACCAGAGCCAGGGGCACGGGCAGGAGGAGAGAGGAGGAAGCCCAGGGACTTCTGACCGATGCCACCTGAAGCAAGGGCCCTGCCCCCTGGGTGGGGCAGCCTGTCAGCTCACTCTCCTGCTGGCTGAGACCTGTGTGGGCCTCCCCTGCTCGTCCTTGGCCACGATCCCTATCTGGAATGTTCTGGTGATGAAGCCCATGTGTGCATATCTGGCTGTGACCCACCTGGGCCTTAGATGCTCTTACTGCCTGGTGGTACCTGCTCCTGTGGGCTACACTCCCCATCCAGGCATCACCTGATGGTATCTGCCTATGATCTCTGCTCGTTCCAAGGCCAGCAGGGCCTCCGTGTCCTCCTTGATATCTGATGCTACAAGACAGAAAGGCCCGAATGGTCCAGTGCTCTGAGGAGCATCAGAGGACACTCACGCCTGCCCCGGTGGCAGCTACCATCTGACAGCGGAGGCAACCCTGCAGTCAGGTGGGGTAGCATCCTGCCTGCTGGCCACAGGTGTGCACTCACACTGACACTTCCACACCACCTTCCCAGCCACAGGTGACACTGTGACAGGGAGATGACACTGCCTTCGCGCAGCCTCGCGGGAGCAAGAAGGTGGGCCCGGGAGGCATAGATGAACTGCTGATCCCTTGTGGTGCAGTGGCCTCCCAGGCCAGGGCCGGCACCTGGAAAGGAGCTGCAGCCAAGGGCAGGTGGGGGCTCCTGGGAGTCACATCCTGCCCTCAGGCACCAAAAGCATGAGCAACAGAAAGATCACACTGAGCTGGATCAGAATTAAAAGGCTGTGTTTAGGGGCACCATGGAGACCAGGAAGCGACAACCCTCAAAGCATATGAAAATACTTGTGACTCAACTGATGTGGGGCCTGGCACACAGGCATGCGAGAGTACATGACTCGATCGCGGACAGACAGCCCAGTCACAAGTGGTCGGCGGCATGCATTGTCCACAGGGACGTGGCTGAGAGGTGCATGACTGGAGGCTCCGAGCACTGCCACCAGGGAAAGGGAGGTGGGAGCCCCGAGGCACCCACCTCGCCCCCTGGAAGGGCTACTGCCCGTTGGATGGAGGACAATGGTGTGCGGATGCAGAGGTGAGCCCCCCAGGCTGCTGGAGGGGCATGAGGTGGTGCAGCTGCTGTGGGGGCCCCTTGGGAGGCAGAACACAGTCCTGTGGATTCCACACCTAGGGTCCACCTGGGAGAGGTGAGAACAGGTCCTAGACCACATTTGCCACGTATGTTCACAGCACTAGTATGACAGCAAAATGCAGACATATTCCAGTGTGGACAGGACGGACGGACGGTCAACACACATGATCCATGCACCGTGGAGCAACTTCCCATGAGGACAGAGTACTGACACTTGCTTCACTGCAGATGGACGTGCTGAGTGAAGACACCAGACACAAAGACCACATGTTACGTGACTCCACATGATGGGTCCACAGAGCAGCATGTGGTCTGTGGTGCAGTGGGGCCAGCAGATGGTAACCTGCTGATGTAAGAGGTCCCTCTCTGGGAGTGATGAGTGGGGATGGTTGCATGCTCAGTAAATACTCGAGACACCACCAAATCATACACTTCAGCCACTGAGTTTGACAGTTTGTGAATTTGAGGAAATCAACTCTCAGAGCCAGACTTGCTGCTGTGCCAGCCCCAGGGACCCCCGGTGGGATTGACGTGACTGCTGGCCAGACACCCCTCTGCTCCTGCCCTCTGCTCCTCCCGGGTCCACTGCAGGGTGCAGAGCAGGCCTGGAGCCGGCCAGCCTGGCACCCAAGGGAATAAGAACTCACCTGCTCTGTTCCACATCAACCTCCGGTTCCTTCTGCTGGGGGTCGCTTGGAGGACTCCCCCCGCCGACCAGGAAGGCTTCCAGTTCGGGGACAGGGTTACCCGGTGGGCCTCCAGCAGCTACCTGCCAGCAGAGGGACACGAGGCCTCACGGTTCTGAGCAAGGTAGGAGGAGTGGCTCTGTGTCCCTCTTTGGAGAAGGAATGCGTCGGCTGGTGGGATGCGAGGTCCTGGGGCACACCTAGGGGGCTGGGGCCGGAGACAGAGGGCCAGGGATGGGGGCTGTGCAGGCGAGCCCGTGCCCTGACCCCAGCTGCAGGCCGGCTGGCCAGCTGGCCGGCGCATAGTCAGGGGTTCTGAATCTGGGACCGGCTGGAGAGCCTGGCAGTGAGCGGTGAGGCCCTCCTGTACGCCCAGAATCTGACCTCAGCCTGCACAGCTGCACACGGGGCAGCCTGGGGTGGCTAAGGCACCACTATCTGTCCCCAAGGGGAGGTGGGAGTGATCGCGCTCACCCAGCTGACCCATCTGTCACTGTGTGAGCCGCACCTCTTGGCTAGAAATGGACACCTGGGTTGAGCGGGGCCATGTGAGTGTGGCAGAGCCCGGCCCAGAGCACAGGTAACTGGCCTCTAACTGGCCACAGATGAGAAGCACAGTGGTGCCAGGCAGCGGCAGAAACTGGGGGCACAGCCATTCCGGCCAGTAGCGGGGCGTGGGCCCTGTCACCACACAGGGTGCCAAGCGTCACTTGACTCCCGCCACTCCCACCCCTCCCCGGGGCCCGGGGCCAGGGTCACAGCCTGTCCCTTTCTGTAAGGTGCTCTCAGAGTGCCTGATTCTGGGCTCCATCCGTCTTTCACTGCACATCACAAGTGGACCCCATCCCCAGAGGCCCCTCCACCTCGTCAGTGGCTGTGTAATGTGGCTTTGTGGATCCACTGAGATCCCCCATGGGTGGGCACCAGGGCTGGGGCCTGGCGGCTATGACACGTGCCCACGGCAGGGGCTGCTCATGCCGGTCCCCCTCAGGCCCCACCAGACCTCCGAGGCTGCCTGCCTCTCAGGCCTCCGCCGCTGCTGGCCTCCCGGCTCCGCCAGGCGAGAGGCGCCGCGACACGGCTCTGGTTGCTGCCCGCGTGTCCCTCGGGAGGAGGTGAGCAGCCTGTCGCCATCACCTGGGAGCTCTCTGTTCACATCATCCCCCATCGTTTGGCCTTTCAGAAACTCACATGTTAAGAAAATTAGAGCTGCAAATGTCCCGTTTTGTGTTTTCTTGGGTTTAGGTGATAGATTGTTCCCAGGAAGCTTGATTTTTGTGTGGCAGAATTTTTTTTTTTTTTTTTATAAGTGGTTTCTGGGATGTATCCCACTTAGGCTTTTCTCTCTATTCTGATAATATAAAAAATTATGTGTTTCTTCTGTACCTAATAATTCCACTTTTGTGAATAGTCTGAATCATTTGGAAGTCATCCTGGCATGAAGTGTGAGTTGGGGATCGGCTTAATTTCCCCCATCCGTCTACGCCCTGCTTTCAGAATGGCTTGCCTCTGACTAGAAATCCTCGGACGGTCATGTCCCCTGCATGTTTGGGGACTGTCTTAATTGTTAGAGCATCAGTTTCATTTAGGGTTTCATAGCTGGTAGGGCTACATCCTCTTGGGGCTCTACTGCAGGCTTTCTCTGGACACCCTTGCTTGCTTATATTTCCACAGGAACATGACAGTAGGCTGTCTAGACCCTACCCCCCTGCACACCTCCCCTGGCCTCCGTGGGCACTGACTCGTCACGGTGCAGCATCCTGGGGGCGTCCTCGAGAAGACATGACTGCTGGGGAGCTGGGGACCTGTGAGCTGGGTGGGCACTTGGAGGCCCTCGCCCTCCCCACCCCTGCAGGGGGTGTGCTACCTGCTCCATTCCCAGAGGCTGCCCCAGGACATGGCCTTGAAGTGCTGGGGTGACCCTCTGGACAGCAGACATGCCCAAGCCTGGCTAAGGCCTCCTTGGAAACCTGAGTGGTGGGCAGGGTGGGGGTCTCCTTGGTGGCCAGTGCCTGGATCACACCTGGTGTAGAAGACCCTTTGCTGATTACAAATGCCACCCACCCACTGCGAGTGACTGTGTCCCCCTGGTCTCTCCCTGCCCTCTGCGTAGCAGGCAGCTTTCATAGAACTATCCAGAAGCTCCTAAGGAGCTTGGGGACCAGCAGGGGACAGGTAGTCCTCCTGTCCTCTCCCTGGTCTGGGTGCTGATGGTCTCGGATACAGGCGATCCCCTCCTGGGATGTAGGGAGGGCTCTGCCAGCTGTGCACACACTGCTTCCCCAGCAGGGAGGGGGTGGATTAGCATCTCTGTAATTTCTATGACACTAGGAACCCAGTAACAGTAATACTGACTTGAGTGCCATGTGTGGGTGTCATGCGACCTTGTGAGTGCTGGCTGGCTCGGCCCATGCCAGTGTCACCTTGGCACAGCTGGTCACCCTGCCAGCTCCAGCCCACAGGGTCATGAGACTCAGCACCCTCCCACCTCATGGAGAGGCTGGCCCCTGCCCAGTGCGTGTGCCTGTACATGGTTTTGGACATGTGTGTGCACAAGCATCTGCATGCATGTGGTTGCATACACACGTGCACATGAACACGTGTTGCATGTGCACATACCGTGGGAGCATGTGCATGTTCATGTGCGTGTGTGTGTGCATGTACAGGTATGTCCCCTTCCCTGGACCCAGCCATGTGCATACAGCATCTCATGTCCTCGGGATAGGAGCTGGGGCTGGCATGGACCTGGAAACCGTCTCTGCCACCCTCACCCAGAGCTGTGCTGTGGGATGGATGATGGGCACACTGGGCACAGGCCCTGTCCTAAGCTCGCCTGCTCCTGGGTGTGACATGGCTTGCACATAGGGGCCAGGATGCCACTAGGGGGGTCATCACACCTTCCCATCCCTCACTTTGTGCCTGTCCCTCCTTATGAGTTGGGGCTCAGAGGCTCCAAGGACTGTGCCCACCTGAGCCGCACGCGGGACATGCCAGAGCTGGATGTGGTCAGGTGGCGCAGGCAGGCAGTCTGGACAGGCAGAGGTGGCAAGGAGGGTCAGGGTGTGAACTTACCACTCAGCCTTCAGCGTCTGTTGCTCAGGGTGTCAGGTGGGGGCCTCTGCTGTCCGCCATCTTCCCTCTGCGATCCTGTGGCCACCAGAAAGAGAACAGGAGGTCATGGGATTAACTCATGGCTGCCGCGGGCCAGCCAGCCCACAGCCCTCTCTCTGCGCGGGCCACACCTGCAGGGACTGGCTGGTACCAACAACCCCAGGTCTCTCCAGCCTGGGCCCAGGCTCACCACACCCCAGGTGAGGCGGCCGCACTTAGGTCTCCTCCCCTGCGCCGCCTTGCGCCTGGGTCCTGCTTGGACACCACTGAGCCGCCCCCTCCTGCTCCTGCCCTCCAGCCTGAAGCCTGGCCCTAGCCTGGGGGCCACATGTCCATCAGGTCACCCTCTGCTGAGGACGGCCATCAGCGTCCCCACCCCAATGCGACCCTGCTCTGTCCCACCCTCCTTCCCCAGAGCCCCGGCCACTTCCTCCAGAGCCTTCTCCCTAGACGGGGGAGAAGGGAGATGCCTGCCCACCTGGGGTCTCTGCCAGGCCCCCCCTGGTCCCCCTAGGACTTCAGGTCCCCGCCCCAGCTCTCTCCCGAGCACTCACCACCACGAAACACCTGTGCATGTTACTGACTTCCACTCTTCCTGAAGTTTGCATGGATGGGTTGGCATCCATTCTACTCTGTGCCTGGCCCCGTCCTAGACACATGGCAGAAGCCCCCAAAATAGAAATAAGCTCAAAGATGTATGACTCACAGCCCTCTGGCCTTGGCATGCCGGGCAGCAGCACTCCAGAGTTTTCAGGCATGTGCTGCCCAACCACCACCTAACAATGAGGGAACTGGGGGGCCATCCCATCATGACATCTATGACAACTCCCAGAGACCACCACCCACTGCCCCTGGAGTTGAGCTGCCCACCGAGGGCCTCTGTGTAGTGGCCCTGGGGCCAGAGCCAGGCTTTTCTGTCCCAGCCACCCTGACCCATGGTGACAAAGCCTTGCAGTATCCTGCAACCAGCAGATGGCACAAAGCCACAGCCTGTGATTGAGCTGTGAAGCCAGACAGGGGGGCCTGGGACGCCCCTGGGACCTGTTGGGCACTCCTGGGACATGTGGGCAGGTGGAGCCAGCCCTCCCGACCCCCACCTCACAGCTCATGACTCGTCCTGTGACTTGGCTTCTGCCAAGCAGTGAGGAGCCGCCACTGGACCAGCCTCCCCTCAGGATCCTTGTCTTGAGGAGGAGCTGCTCCCTGGACCCCGTGGTCAGGCATCTGACACACAGACCAGGGATGAAGGCAGAGGCTGCAGAACGGGAGCTCCTCCAGACCCGGGCCCAGAGTGGCTTACGGCCCCGGGGCCTCCCGGCTCTGGCTGCTGCCCAGCTCTGCTGAGAACCAACCTCAGGCCCTCGGGGCCTACAGGAAGGCGTCCCCAGCTCCACACAGCGGGGCAGCCTGAGGGGACTCTGCTGATGAGCAGGAGGAGGGGCCCCCCCTGCAGCGAAACGGAGTATTAAGGCATCGCTTGAAAAAGGCTCCTCAACAACGAAGCCACCGAGTGCCAGCTTTTGAGCCGGAATCTGACGCGCAGGCTGCTCACAGGGGAGTCAGAGACGGGGCAGCCACAGGCAAGAGGGTGTTTTACGGTCCTGAGGACCGACTCCAAGGTCAGAACAAGGGCGCAGGTGATATTTCAGGACGGCTACTGAGTTGACATGATGGGACATAACTTCCAAAGCAGGATGGCAGGAAAATATGAAACAATATTTGCTTATCCCCAAATAAGTAAAAAAAGTAGGAAAAACCTGAACACAGAAAAAGCAGGGTGAAACTTTTCCCATTTTTTTTATACGAGTTCTACACTTACAGGTCTTAAGTTTAAGTCTTTAATTTTGAGTTGATTTATGGTGTAATGGGTCTGAGATAAGAATCCAGTTTCTGAACACCATTTGTTGAGGAGACTGTCCTTTTTATGTGTTCTTGGCACCGTTGTCAAAGGTCAGTTGACTGTAGATGAGGCCTTTTCAGGGCTGTCACATATGTTTCACTTGTGCCAGAACCATACCGTTTTAACTCTGCAGCTCTGTAATATAATTTGGATTCAGGAAGTGTCAGGAGCCAGTCCGAACCGCCACCTGATGACACAGTGCGGGCAGCCGGAGGGCAGGGGCTGCACCGCGGCCTTCCCAGGGGAGCGACCCCGATGTCCCTCCTGCTCAAAATGTCTCTCCTAATAAATTTGCTTATTTCGGTTTCAATTCAAGCTGCCCCTTCAGGGAGGAGGCTATACCCAATTCTCCCTGAAAATTTTGGGTACTGGCCCTAAAGGAAATTGGAGAAAACCACTATTACCCTTGTGACTACCCCCGATGATGGGAAAGTGAGACCCCATGAGTATTGGACCTAAGTTTATGGGAAAAAAGATATGGAAAATGTACCTGGGTTGAGGTTCCTTCCCCCGCCCCTACATGGCCTCCAAATAACATATTCAATGATTAATGGCAACAGGTGGGTACAGAGAACAAATGATATTCTTTGGCTAGCTTGCCAAAGACCAACCTGGCAAATTATAAAACAAATGAGAACAGGGCATTACCTAACTCCAGATCAGAAAAATCTCCATTGTAAGTCTTACTGAAAATGGGTCTGAGGCACCATCCATAAAATTTGTCCCTGCCCGCCAAAAAGTCATCGTGTTCTTTTAGAGAGAGCCTCTTTCTTTCCTACCAAAGATGAAGAATGGGAGTATAGCTACGAAAGAATGAGGGCCCTAGATAAAAATAGTAGAACAGTGAACTTTAGATAGACATCTGTAAAGAAACCAAGAGTCTGGCACCTACCTAACCTTTGTAAGATTTTCTGGCCACAATAACTAAGAACAAAGCTTACTTAGAAACAAGTTAACTGCTAAGACCTGCCAAATGACTTAATCTCATTCTCCAAACTCATGTAACCGTGCTATGTGTCAATTACATGATTAATATCTGTACTTTACTTTATGTAATCAAAGAGTATATAATAAAACTGCTACTTTTCATTAAAGGCCAGGCTCAGCTTTTGCTATATCTGTGTCCTCAACTCATTCATTCAGCCACTGATGCCGTTCATCCTTCAGGGACCCTGGACTCGCTGGAGCTGGACTCCGGCAAGGAAGCACGATGCCCCCAGCTTCATTTCTTCTTTCTCAAGATTATGTTTGCTATTCAGGGTCCTTTGTGGTTGCATATGAATTTTAGGATTGCTTTTCCTCTTTCTAAGCAATGCTATTGTGATTTCACTAGGGTTTGATTGACTCTCTGGGTCACTGAGTAGCTGTACATTTTAAGAACATCTAAGTCCTCCAATCCACGAACACAGGAGGTCCTTCCATTTGTTAGTGTCTTCTTTAATTTGTTCCATCAATGTCTTATTCTGCAGGCACAAGACTGTAATTTCCTTGCTTAAGTTTATTTCTCAGTATTTTTTTTTGATGCTATTTGTAAATGGGATGGCTTTCTTCATTTCCATTTTGGATATTTCTTTGTTGATGTATAGAAAGGCAACTGATTTTTATATGCTGTGACTTGACTGATTTTGTTTATTAGTACCAACAGGGTTTTTATGGAGTCCTTAGGGTTTTCTGATTTGGATGCCTTCTATTTCTTTTTCTTGTTTAACTGTTCTGGCTAAGATCTCCAGTAATGTGGTGTGAACAGGAGTAGAGTGGGCATCCTTGCCTTCATGACATTGGTCTTGGCAGTGGCTTCTTGGAAAGGACACCAAAAGCAATAAAAGGCAGTAACAGCAAAGACAGACAAGTGGGACCACATCAAACTAAAGAGCTTCTGCACAGCAAAGGAGCCATCAACAGTGAAAAAGGCAGCCAAAAGAGAGAAAATATTTGCAAATCATATAACTGATAAGGGGGTAATATCCAAACATGAAAGAAACTCCTCTAACTCAATAGCAAAAAGCCCACAAATAACCCAATTAGAAAAAAACGGACAAGAGACCTGAAGAGGCATTTCTCTGAAGACGACATATAATGACCAGCTGGTAAAGGAAAAGACGCTCCACATCACTCATCATTGGGGAAATGCAGATCAAAACTACAATGAGCTACCACCTCACGCCTGGTAGGATGGCCACACCCTGACACAGAAAATAACAAGTGCTGAGGAGGATGTGGAAGAAAGGAAATCCTCCTACACTGTTGACAGGAAGGGAAGTTGGTGTAACCACTGTGGAAAACAGGGTAGTAGTTCCTTAAAAAACTAAAAATAGGACTACCATATGATATAGAAATTCCTGTTATCAATATTGATCCAAAAGAATTTCAGTGAGTGCCTCTACCAGCCATCTCACCCCATATTCTGCAGCACTTCTCACAATGGTCAAGACATGGAAGTAATATCGTGTCCACAGACAGGTGAGCAGATAAAGGAAATATGGGCTGTACACAGAGGGTTATTACACAGGTTTACAAAAAAGCAAGGACATCCTTCTGTGTGCAGCAGCACGGGTGAGCCTTGAAGACATTATGCTGAGTGACATAAGCCAGGCAGGACTCCATTCGTATGAGACATTTAGAATCGTCAAAGGTGCAGAGGCTAGCCGGGGGGTGTCCGCCGCAACAGGTATGAGGCTGCAGTCACGCAGGACGAGTCAGTTCTAGCTCTGCTGTACCACGTCTCGCCGTGGGTAACACCACGCTGCGCAGTGGGCAGCTGAGGGCAGGCCTCACGTGCTCTTTGCCACAATGAGACAGGAAGGGAAAAGCAGCAGCAGGGGGAATATGGTGCACAAGGCGAGATGGTGGAAAGACGCCCAAATGTGCCGGTCCTTACAACTGTTAAAGGGCCAAACGTAGAGCTGGAAGGGGTGATTTTAAATGGAACAGAATTAAATAACTTCTACCTAAAAGCTGTTTATGACAATCCCTCCTACATGTTAGGACACGGGCGACGGCACAGGCGGAGAGGACATGCTGGTGAGGGGTCAGGCCTGGAGGTGGGGCCCATGTCAGGGACCCACACTATCCTGGTTCACCAGGGAGTGAAGGGACCCGCCTCGGTGCTCCTCTCAGAGCCTCGGGAGACAGGCAGGCAAACCGACAAGCTAAGAGCGGTGGGCACCTGATCACAGGGGACGGTCAGCTCAGTGTGGTGAGGAGACGGCTTGGCAGGTGTGCGGCAAGGGGACAGGGCCTGGCGCGGGTGCGGTGAGGACGGGCAGGTGAAAATCCGCAGGTGCCGAGACCGCTCCTGGCGGGGGTCGACAGATACAGCCTGGGCCACACTCCTAATGAGACGCAGGCTGCTTCTCCAACCCCTAAACCCAAGCCTAACAAGCGAGGAAGCCATCAGAGGTGCACAATGACCTCTCCTATCACTTACGATTTTTCTGATACCCAAAAAGTTAAAAATGCCGATGAAAACCAAAGGAACTCCCTCCCCCCACCGCCAACCCGGCCTCAGGCCTCTCCTCGGGCTAGAAGCAGCCGTGAGGTAGGACAGGAGCTGTGACACGGCCCCGCCGTCCACCTAGGCGCCGCTCCTCCTGCTTCCGTGGGAAGTGGGCCGGCTCCCTCTCGGTCCGCAAGCTAGTGACCGCCTGTTGTCGTCTGGAGGTCGGGTACCCGGCCGGTACCGGTGTCTGGAGGTCAGGCACCCGGGGTCAGCCCTCACCGGCGGCGGCATGGTCCAGCCGCCTGCGGACGCGCGCCTGAGGTGCGCGGTTTCGCCGCCCAGGAAAGACTCGCACTCGCGGGGTGGGCAAGGGGCCGCCGGGACCGCGGGCGGAGGCGGGCGGGGGTGCCGGCCCGGGGGCGGGGCTGGGGGCAAAGGGCGGGCGAGCGTGCCGCAGCGCAGCCCAGCGGACGTCGGGGCGCCCCGAGCTCACCGCGCGTGCGCTCCCGCCCTCGGCCTCCTCGCGGGGCACGCTGGGAGGCCTAACGCCGGGCCTGCGCCTGCGTGGTGCACGTCTCGCTGGTGGTCCTCTACGCGGTCGCTGGCTCCGCCCTGTTCCGCTGCTATGTTGGTGGCCAGGAAGCTAGACAAGCAAGGGCGGGCTTGGCCAGACAGCTTTCCCCAAACTGAGTAAACCAGACCTTATTCTCGCAAAGAACCCACCCCCCAGGAAGCCCAGGCCTGTGCTGTGCAGGCGTAGAGACACGCTAGTGGCCTTCCGCAGCCTTTCAGGACGGCCTTGGGCAGCGTCGGAGAGGACCTTAGAACCAGGAAGGCCCTCCTCTAGGATGGTATACCAGGGAGATAACCACGCGTGAGACTGTGAAAATCTGGAAAGTCTACATGTTAGCCTGTACAGACTGACTACATCCAGGCAGTGCACACAACTTGGCCCTGAAAAGTTAAAAGGGTGTGTGCACATTTATTCATATATGTATATTCATGTATACATTGTTTATCCTTAAGTGAAAAATATAGTTCATAATGCATTAGCTTCCCATTGCTGTAACGAATTGCACAGCTTTGTTACTTTATAGTTTTGGAAGTCGGAAGTCAGAAATGGACCTTCAGAAGTTAAAATGAAGCTATGCACCGGGCTGGTTCCTCCTGAGGCTCAGAAGAATCTACCTCTTGTCCTTTTCCAGCCACTAGAGGCCGCCGTCCTCCATGTTCAAGCCCGACCACCTCAAGCTCTGCTTCCACTGACACTTCTCTCTGATGCTGGTTCTCTTTCCTTATAAAGACCCTCAGGACTGCGTTGGGCCCAACCACGGAATCCAGGACAGTCTCCCCTGTCAAAGGGTCCCTAACTTAGTCATGTCTGCAAAGACCCCTTTGCCGTGTAGGGTAACTATTGACAGGTTTGGGAGTTAAAACATCATTTTGGGGAGGAGCCAAGATGCGGCGGGGGTAGGGCAGCGGGAAATCTCCTCCCAAGACCATATATATTTTTGAACATACAACAAATACAACTACGCCTAAAGAGAGATCAACAGATACAGTACAACAGCCAGGCTACATCTACATCTGCGAGACCTCAGCATCTCACATAAAGGGTAAGATACAAAGCCAGGCCCGGCAGGACCCAAGCGCTCCCCCCACCCCAGCTCACCGGAGGGAGGAAAGGAGTCAAAGAGGGGATGGGGAGGGAGCCCAGGACTGCTAAATGACCAGCCCTAGTAATCCACACAGGGAGCACAGACACACATTCATGGTGTGCTGGATATTAGAGAAACAGAAAAGTAAAATCTGCAAGCAGGTCCCCACAGCCAGCTCCCCTGGGACAAAAGAAAAGCGAGTGCTTGTTGAAAGTCTTAAAGGGAGGGGGCTTCACAGTGGGATGCAATCGTCCCGGCAGGCACTCCAATCCCCTGGGTGGCAATGCAGCTCTGAAGCCCCTCATGGTGATAAGCAGCCTACTAGTTCTTCCACTGGTCGGCGCAGCCCTGCCACAGCGACTGAGCAGCCGGAGAGCAGCCCTGCCCACAGCGACCGCCCAGAGTCCCCTCTCTGCGCGCAGCTGCCTGGGCCAGACCCAGAGGCTGCTACTTGTGCGCAGCTGCCTGGTGCAGAGGAGGCCGTGGCAAGGCGTGAAGGGGCACCGCTCTTGCAGGAGAACACACCCGGCATGCCTGCCACTCCCTGCATGGTCCTGGGTTACCCTGATGGCTTCCCCGCCCACGGCAGCTCAGGGGATTAACCTGGAGGCTGCTTCCAGTGTGCGGGTAACCGACACAGGCAGCGGAGAAGGGCAAGGTGACCAGCAAGCAGGAAGGAACTTTGTTCTCCCAGCTGACACATGAGCCACCTACTTACGACTACCTCTATCGCCATGAAAAGGCAGAAGAATTTGGTCCAGTCGAGAATCACCCAGACAACCCCCGAGAGAGGGCCTGGGGAGATAGATATAACCAATCCTCCTGAAAAATAATTCAAAATAAAGGAAGATCATAACCATGCTAATGGACCTGCAGAAGAAACATGCAAGAGCTAAGGGATGAAGTTAGGAGGGAGATAACAGAAATGAAACAATCTCTGGAAGGACTTAAGAGCAGACTGGATGAGGTGCAAGAGGCCGTTGATGGAAAAGAAATCAGAGAACAGGAATACAGAGAAGCTAAGGCAGAGAGAGAGAAAAGGATCTCCAGGAATGAAAGAATATTAAGAGAACTGTGTGACCAATCCAAAAGGAAAAATATTCGCATTATAGGGGTACCAGAAGAAGAGTGAGAAAAAGGAATAGAAAGTATCTTTGAAGAAATAATTGCTGAAAACTTCCCCAAGTGGGGGGGAGGAAATAGTCTCTCAGACCATGGAAGCCCACAGACCTCCCAACATAAGGGACCCAAGGAGGACAACACCAAGACATATAATAATTAAAACGGCAAAGATCAAAGCCAAGGACAGAGTATTAAAGGCAGCCAGAGAGAAAAAAAAGATCACCTACAAGGGAAAACCCATCAGGCTGTCATCAGACTTCTCAACAGAAACCTTACAGGCCAGAAGAGAATGGCATGATATATTTAATGCAATGAAACAGAAGGGCCTGGAACCAAGAATACTGTATCCAACATGATTATCATTTAAATATGAAGGAGGGATTAAACAATTCCCAGACAAACAAAAGTTGAGGGAATTTGCCTCCCATAAACCACCTCTACAAGAAATGTTAAAGGGAATGCTCTAGATGGAAGCACATCTAAGGCTAAATGTCACCAGAGAATATAAAATCACACCAAAGAAAGCAGACCAACCAAA